TTAAACGCCGAATTAACCTACCATCCAAAAGTTTGAATGCTCAGGTGTCAGGCATCAACAACACCGTTTCAGCCCAAGTCAAAGAAGCGTGTTTAATACAGTTGCGGTCACCGATTGACCCTTTAATAAAAATAGATACCACTGTCCTGGTTCTACCACAGCTTACAGGAAATCTGCCGACTTGCCAGATCAATGCTATGACAAAGCAAGCGTTTCCGGATTTAGTATTAGCTGACAAGAGATTCTTCATAAATGAGCAAGTTGATCTTGTACTAGGCGGCGATATTTACGCCCAAATAATATTGAGTGGCATACAGAAGAATGTTTTAGGTACCCTGCTTGCGCAAGAGACTGTATTCGGCTGGATACTAACCGGTCAAACTGAGGCAACAGGGCCAACGAATAAATGCGTTTCATTCTTCAACGAAGTCACTCTAGACAAACAATTAGCGTCTTTTTGGGAATTAGAGGACATCCCAAAGAACCATACATACACCAGAGAGGAAGTTTACTGCGAGGACCTGTACAAACGCACAACTAAAAGGAACAAAGATGGAAAATATACAGTATCGTTGCCATTCAAAATGGATTTTCCAGGGAGCGTGCGGTTAGGACCCTCTCTCAAGAGCGCTTGCTCTCAATTTTTTCGCAATGAAACGCGTCTAGCAAAGGACCCACTCCTACAAACGGAGTATAATAGGGTACTGTCCGAGTACGAAACTTTAGGACATATGACGCGAATTTCCAGCCATATTCAAGCTGATGAGTGTGAAAATTATTTTTTACCTCATCATGCCGTCCGGAAGGAAGAAAGCACCACCACCAAAGTACGGGTGGTGTTCAATGCGTCGTGTCCGACAGCTAATGGGGTGAGTCTCAATGATGTGCTTCATCCTGGTCCAGTACTGCAAAATGACCTCACCATCTTAATACTTCGGTGGAGATTTTATAAATATGTTTTTAATAGCGACATCGAAAAGATGTATCGCCAGATTTTACTTAATCCTACCGATAGCAAGTATCAACGAATAGTTTTCCGCACAAGCCCAACAGAACCAATTAGTCTTTTTGAACTTAATACGGTGACTTTCGGGGTCAATTGCGCCCCTTACCTCGCGATTAGAACCCTGCTCCAATTAGCTGACGATGTAGAACAGTCACACCCCATGGCGTCGGACATACTAAGAAATTACATGTATGTTGACGATGTTTTAGCTGGCGGTCACTCCATCGAGGCTGCTATCAAGGCGAAAACCGAAATAACAAGTGCATTGCAGTCTGCTGGGTTCCCCTTGAGGAAATGGACGTCCAATTGCAATGAAATATTAAAGGGAATACCAAAATCCCATCTACTGAAAGAAGACTTCTTGGACTTTGAAGACACCAGCACAGTTAAAGCTTTGGGTATCAGGTGGAATGCCCACTCTGACAATTTTTACTTTACAGCCAAGCCAATAGAGGAACAGGTTAGCTATTCTAAAAGGCAAATACTATCGGCTATTGCCAAATTATTCGACCCTCTAGGATGGCTTGCACCAGTGGTAATTACTGCGAAAATTTTAATGCAGAATATCTGGTTGGAAGGAACAGGGTGGGACGAAATCGTGTCACCTACGACTCTAGACCGCTGGAAAAATTTTAGGGAAAGCTACGACAGTATCGAAAGAATTCGTATTCCACGTTGGGTACACTTTTCCCCTGTGACCGAGATCGAAATTCACGGATTTTGCGACGCCTCAGAGAAGGCTTACGCAGCATCTATTTACTTGCGTGTCGAAATAAGCAGCAAAGTGTTCATCAACCTGCTACTATCAAAAACTAGGGTAGCACCAGTTAAAACAATTTCCTTACCACGCCTAGAACTCTGTGGAGCGGTCCTGTTGGCAGAAACCCTGGAATCGATTTCGGATAATCTGAACTTCGCCCATCGTACAACTCAGATGTGGACGGATTCCACCATCGTGCTTGCCTGGATACGCAAGCCTCCATGCTCATGGTCGACATTTGTAGCCCATCGAGTGACCAAAATAATTGAGAAGGTGGGAGGAGAAAACTGGCGTCATGTGGACTCAACGTCAAACCCCTCAGATTTAGCCAGCAGAGGACTTACGGCGCAAGAATTAATAAACAATTCCCTGTGGTGGGAGGGCCCTTCTTGGCTTCAAGAAGACCACTCAAAATGGCCCACTCAAGGAAAGGACTATAACACAACCATTGAAGAAAAAAGGGTACAAGTTCATATAACAACAATGGATAGTAAGACTGATATTCTTGATAGGTTTTCTGAATTTCCAAGAGCTTTGAGAGTGCTATCATACGTAATGAGATTCTCCCAAAGAACCCGTCCAAATACCAAAGCTTCATTTCAAGCGAAATCTTGTTTAATTTCAGCTGATGAAATTAAAGCAACGACCCAACGCTTAGTACTAGTTTGCCAGAAGCAGCATTATGGTGAGGAATATTCAGCATTAGTATCAGGAAAATCAGTAGGTTCTAAAAGTGAAGTATTGCCCCTTACCCCATTCATCGACAAAGACGGTATAATGAGAACAGGTGGACGGCTGGGAGCATCTCGTGATCTCGCCTACAACGAGCGTCACCCAATCATCCTGCCTTATAATTGCACCTTGTCCCGTCTCATAGTTCAGTTTATTCACAAAGTTTCCCTGCATGGTGAGAATCAGCTCATGCTGCGCTTGATCCGAACACAGTACTGGATACCTAGGGTCAAAAACTTGATTAGGTCCACAATTCATAACTGTAAGGCTTGCACGATTTATCGCAAACGCGCGCAAACTCAGTTAATGGGAATTCTTCCCAAGGAAAGAACGACATTTTCGCGAGCGTTTACAAATGCGGGAGTCGACTTCGCAGGGCCATTTGACATTAAAAGTTATAGTGGCCGAGGTTGTCGCATGTCAAAAGGATATGTCTGCCTATTTGTATGCTTCGCAACAAAGGCAATCCATTTGGAAGCCACTTCGGACTTGAGCACTCAGTCGTTTTTAGCAGCATTTGCCAGGTTCATCGCACGACGAGGCTGTCCAAAAAATATCTATTCCGACAACGGCACCAATTTTGTGGGAGCTTCTAGAGCTCTGAGAGCCGAAACAAAAGCCTTTTTAAAAGACGCCCGCGATAACACTTTGGCGAAATACGCTCACCAAATGCTTTCGTGGCACTTCATTCCCGCTTCAGCTCCCCACATGGGCGGACTGTGGGAAGCGGGAGTTAAAAGTTTTAAAAGCCACTTTACGAAAATTGCTTCCCAACACAAATACACGTTTGAGGAATTTACAACCCTATTATGCAGAGTTGAATCCTGTCTCAACTCTCGACCCCTGAGTCCCTCATCAAATCAACCAGGAGACCTGGAGCCACTGACTCCAGGCCACTTCTTAATCGGTGGACACATACTAGCTCCACCAGAAATAGACGCTGATGAAAATCGTGCCTCGATTGTAAATCGATGGCAGAGGCTCAAGGCTCTACACCACACGTTCTGCAAACGGTGGAAAAGTGAATATCTCACGGAATTGCAGAAACGCAACAAATGGAGATATCCGCAAGCCAATATGAAAATTGGAGACCTCGTGATCATCAGAGAAGATAACCTGCCGCCAAACGAATGGAGACTCGGAAGGGTAGTTAACGTCCATCTAGGTGCAGACAATAGGGCAAGAGTAGTGGACCTCATGACTGAAAGAGGACAGGTTACTAGACCTGTAGTCAAGCTGGTTCTACTACCCCCCTGTGATCAACAACACAGCGAATCGCAACCAAGTAACGACTCCATTTCGTAAAAGCCTAACTTAGTCCACAACCACAATTCGCAACATAATACAGTCCACTTTATCATACGAATATAAATCATTACTGCGAGATGCTCAACAAACTATATGAATCGATTTCGTTTTGTTGATGCGCAAAAATAACTTATCAAAATAATTTCGTTTCTTTTCGTTAAAAACAAGAATAGAATTATTTTGATAATTACCTAAATGATAAGAAACTGAATTGTTTCAACAGAAACGATTGGCTTATTTTGGTAAACGCTATAATTAACGTTACAATGCATACGTGCTTTTGATATGTATACACATACACACGTACCCCAGGAAATCATTATAAACGAATGGAGTTTGCGCGAACATAATATACTACGTCCACCAAATTCAAAAAATATTCAAGATTCCTTTAATTTTATTTAAAGTATATCTTATTAGAAGCTTTCGGATAAAAAGGTTGGGAGGAGCGGTAAGTTGCCTACATGTTTTTATTCCTTCTAACCTTGCGGAATTAATACAATTGTGTCGCAATCTTTATATCGAAGAATTGCCTACATAATATGTATATGGGCTGCATGAATTCATTCAAACTTCAAGCCAAACAGAGTACAGTACATTTGAATATTTTACTTCACCTACAAAATACTCAGCGTTTGGAATTTTGTAAGTTATGAATATACATTTTGTTTTAAATTGTCTACCTTTAAATGGAAGAATGTGACTGAATGAATGGAAAACATTTAAATCATTCAAACTCATTTCGGCACACAAGTTTTCTCGTATGTAATAGGAGCGCAGCAATACATACATACATACATATGTATGTTTGTACATATGTACGAAGAAAAAATATTTCTGGATATTCATACAAAGAGTTGACATTTATATCAATTCAATTTATTTTCACTTTGTCGACACATATATCTGAACAGCTGTTCACTCAGATTTAAAAAAAAAAAAAAAATTATTAAAATTTTAAGCTAAAATTATTCATCCGTTTTGTGTATGAATAATTCATATGCCGTTTGAATGCATTCATGCAGCGCTCTCCTACATATCACCGCAAGGGATGGTTATGGACTTTCGTCATTACACCCGATTTACATGATTCAGGTACTTTGTGTTTTCTATTTGCTTTTACACGTTTCAATTCTGTTGAAGTCAAGTTTGGTTCGGTAAATGGGAAGCAACGAAAATGCCAAAAGCAAAGCAAGAAAGTTTAAACGACTTGACGGTACAGACGCATGTGTACTCGTCCCTTTTGTTCTCACCCCCTCTCTTCCACATGCGAGCAGAATGGAATTCAATACTTGAACTGTGTAAAAGCAGTATAATAATAAAAAGGTTATAGTACTCACCATATTCCGGGGAAAATTACCAGACAAATTAAGTTGGCAGAAGACGTAGTTTGTGCCACTTGACCAAATATGCAACCAGGGGTTTGTTGTGAAAAAACATTTTGCTGTACAAAAACTGATTGCGCCTCCTGTTTGTTGCTCTGGTACATGCCAAAATTCGGCGGAGTTTGCATTTGTTGAGATCGCGTGGATTGGGTAAAAACGTTTCCCCCATTTGTTATTTGCTGCTTCTGAATACTTAGGTTAAATAAACTACCACCTGCGTTCTGTTGAGCTTGGGAAGAACACAAACCTACGATGAACGAAGGTTTAATTTGATGCTGCTGTAATAATGATTGGCTGAACAAACCTCCGGTCCCTTGCTGCGCGCGCCCAAAACGTCCAACAGTAACATCAGTACTTGTCAGCGTTTGACCAAATAGATTTTGTGGGGCGCCTCCTCCGAATATGGAACTAGCATTTGGAAGCTGTTGAGAAAAAACTGAAGACTGCTGATTTTGAAAATTAAAAGCTGACCTACCTCCACCAAGGATTCCTCCAGGAGTCGAAGGTGCCATTCCGCCAAATACGCATCCGGCATTGGTAGTATGACCATGATCGTTAAAAGCATCACCAAAATTTTTATTACTGCTGGATGTAGCGCCAGGTTTTTTTAAATATCAATGCTGTGTCACTGGCAACGCTAATTTCAAGGCCAAATGGATTAGTTTTATTACTTTTAGTCAAACCCACATTTGTGGCGGCTTCTGAAGTTGCATCATACAATCGGCATATAATATCTACTACATGGGGTGATATCTGCGCCATTGTTTTCATTTTATTATTAGCTTCAATGGCTTCTTTGGCGAATTGTTTAACGAACTGATCGAAACAGTTTTTTTTTTAGCTTCATAACATATCCATCGTATTTCGTCAAAGGACTGATCTTCTATAAAATTTGGAAAACAAAGGTTTATCTGTGCGATACAGATCCTGCAAGACTTCAAATTCGCACAATCGATACAGAAGTTTTGTCTGAATGCATGTGATTTGTCGTGCGCGATTTTGCAACCACTTTTAGCTAAATCCAGCATCATCTGAAATGGAAACGAAAAGATATTAGTAAGATAATAGGGTTTACATAAAAGATTCATATTATATTAATTCATATTTCACGATACTTAATGGTTGGCTTTTTCCGAGAGGAATTTGTGCTGCGAGTATCGCCTGCATACCCGAAGTTCCCAAGAGCCACGCACTTCCATTCATCATACTAAAATTCCTCATTCATCCTTCAGGCGAACTCGATTACGAGTTGTAAATGTGCCGTACTTGGATGAATGAGGGTTTTGGGTGGAATATCTCCAAGGAAAGCTAAAAGTAGAAGGTAAAAAATATCACATTAAAATATTATGAGAAAAATACGCAACTTACCGCATCATAATTACTCGTGCCATTCAGGAAATTGTGATATGTGCTGCAATTGCCCTCAATGAAAGTGTCATTTTTAAAAAATAGTGATGTGCAGAGTTGCCCCAATACTCGGTACCCAAAGTTTCGGTATTGGTAACCGATACCGATTCAATGCAATATACCTTAGTAGTAATATAAGTACACTTAAATCACCTCTCGCACAATTTCGGGTCCATTTTGTTTTTTTTGCAGAAGAATAATAAAGGTTCACATAAAAATGAAGCGTTCTCTGAAACGAATGACTTTCAGTTATTTAATTTTTGTTCTGTACCCCCTGAAGGCGCTGTGGACTCCGTATTCACAAAGAATTCCGTGCATAGCCCCTTAAAAAAAAAAAAAAAAAAA